AAGCATAATCTACAAAGCAGTGTGGACATTGTCAGCATTTCCTACTTTGCACTTGGATAGAATGGCATTGAAGCTATGGGAGGAATGGTTCACCTGCATCTTCACTATCCTTGTCTTGCTCCCCACTTCCACTACCAGTAGGTACAAGCACACCACTTCCTCTGCACGTGAGGCCCTCCTCAGTCCTGGTGAGAATGGTGGGAGTTTAGGATTTTCCCCATCATATATGTTTGTAATGTTAAAAAGTCTTCAATGTGGCAGGCAGTGGTTGCTAATGCTCCTTAGCAGCCACGTTCATTCAAACTTCTTTTTAGCTGCTGCTTTGCTATTAAATTTTTCAGCTTTTAATAAGGAGTGGAGATTGGGGTAACTTTAATTTGCCCTGTTCTAATGTTTGATGGTAGGTTGGGGTTATTGCAGTTGATACTTCTCCTAAGGAGGCTTCTGCAGTTGTTCTCTTCGCTGTCATGCTTTACTGCTTTCTTAGAAATTGCTTTAAAATGAATATACTGGTTATGGGGGAAAACAAGAAAAAAAAAATGGTTGTGATTACATGCAGATGTCAATACTTATGTTAGTTGAATTTTCAAATGTAGATTTTGGTATAGTAGTAGAACGTAGCAAAACACATGATTAAAGTATCCTTGGATTAATTGTCTTCTACACACTGATGTTTCAGATTATGCAGAACTAAGGAGAGGTTTGGCACTTGCAGGAAGTAATGCTAACGTTAAACTGCTTTTGAAAATGAGGTATTTAACCTCAGACGCTGATATTTTAGAATGCTTTTTTATTCTAGTTTTAAAAGGCAATTTGTTCTCAGACATTAGTGTTTAACATTTTAATTTTCCCCATTTAACTTTTTTTTTCCCTTCTCTCTCAGGCTGTATTTTAGCCAGCATTGCTTATTTTAAGTTTAAAAAGTGATGTTTTATTTAAATCCTTATTTTCTTAATGATCAGAGGTAAGAAAATAAGCTGTATTTTAGAGCCTTATGTTTAAAGTCTACATCTTAAAAATGTAGCCATAACAGTATGTGCACAAAAACTTTGATTTATGTTAATCTTATTTTTTCTAGTCTGAACATAAAAGATCAATTATTTTACTGTCAACGGTGTTTTTAAAGCAAAGGCATCTTGTGTTTTGACCTTCTAATGGTGAGACATGGAATAAACCCAGTGGAAGGTGGCTGTTAACACAATGCATGAGCGTAGAGGGGAAGATGTCTTTCTTAGTCTTTCAAAGCTTTCAGTTCAGTATTAGTCTAAATACTGGGTGGTGTTCAGTATTGGTCTGAATGCTCAGTTCTGGTGTTAACATTTAAGTTTTATCCTGAACATAAAACTTGGGCTTTGAAGCCCACAATTTCTAAGTGTATGTGGGGAAGGACTAATTTTATGTTGAAGAAAATTAAAATTGGAGTTAATGAACAGAAAGAAGGAAGAAATGAGGATAGTTCTCTGTAGCCTGAGTATGTAGAGCCTGCATCTGCTTCTACTAAACCATGGAACTTTTAAAACCTCCTTTTTTTTTTTAAGTGGGCCATTACTGTTTTATATGCAAAGCTGTTCTGTGTGCCTTGGAAATAATCCATGATAGCTTCATACGTGACATTATATGACATTATTTACAGGCTCAATTTACAGACTAACCTGACCTAGAGCAATGTTCAGGTATGTGCCTATAAATACATCCATTCAGGACAGTGGATTTGGGAAGGACAGCTATGTGCCAATGTACACTTTAGTACAGGGGTAGTCAACCCCTGGCATGGCTCCCAGAGCATGGCACTTAAAGGTATTTTGCTTGGCATGTGTACCTTGGGGCAGACAGCAGGGAAGGGGCTAGAGCTGCCCTGCCACAACAAGGATCAGGCCCCCCGTGGCTCTCCTGCCATCCATCCCTGGAACGCCAACATCTTACAAGTCGAGGTTGCGTGTGTATTTGGTGCTCTGCCCAAAAATGTTGCCAACCACTGCTTTAGTAAAACCAATATGTAAAGTCAGTTATTCAGGGAATGTAAAAATCACTGTATTTTTTGGTAGATAGCATTTCTGCTGTTATTGCCTAGTAAGAAAACACCATATGTATAAACATAATTGAGTGGGAAACTGATAGTTTTAACAAAGCTGATTAGACTTCAAAAATGGAAAATTATTTCATCAGTTTTTAATGGCATTTGTTTTATGAGTAAACATGGTGTTAACAGGAGACATGATGGTTTAATGGGATACTGCAAGAGCATTTTGGAAGTCATAGCATACATTTAATTATGGCTGACCTTATATGCAAACAAAGTTTACTCTGCTTTATTTTAGTCTAAGAGGGGTATGTGTCCATGTTGCCAATTTACCACCCAACTTGGCACCTCTGATTAGTTTTTGAACAAGAGTTGCCTAAATAATAGCAGATGTGTAGCAAGATAAGGATTAAAGTATGTTAGCAAAATTGTGTGGGAAGCTTGCGTGAGAACGGGCTTCTCTTAGCCTGTCATTTGAGGAGGATTAAGGACGAATACTTTTTCACCCCTCAGCATCTTTGAATATATCAGTTGATTCTGTTGGAAAAAGAATGGCTGCAATGATGCTGGGGCAATGTCACATCATGAGCAGGGTTGGACCAGATACTTCTAAGCGAAAAGAAATTGATGCTTTGTTTTCCACTTGAAAATGATTGGGAAATTATTAAGATGTTCATCCTTTGCAATCCTGTTATCCCACGGAAGCATTGGGAATGCAAGTGGTGTAAATGGGGACAGAATTTGACCTAATGAATTCTGACATTCTACTGAGAGAACCATTACCCTCCCCCAGGAAGCTGCACAATACATAGGCTTAAACATTAGAGCAAGTCAACAGAATTGAATTTCCAAGAGCCATTTTTGGGAAGAATGGGGATATATTTGCCTCCATTTGTTGCAGCAGGGTATGACAACCCCTGGCCTGGCCCCCAATGCTATGGCTGTTCCTAGAATCATTGGGGAAACTCCATTGGTCTTTGTGCTGTTCTTTGTTCCTTCCTCCCATTCCTTTCCTTTTGCAGTAAAATTTGTCATAGATTCATAGATTCATAGATTAAGGGTCGGA